CTGCTTATCTGGTTAGTTGGTTGGTTGACTGGCTGCTTATCTGGTTAGTTGGTTGGTTGACTGGCTGCTTATCTGGTTAGTTGGTTGGTTGACTGGCTGCTTATCTGGTTAGTTGGTTGGTTGACTGGCTGATTATCTGGTTAGTTGACTGGCTGATTATCTGGTTAGTTGGTTGGTTGACTGGCTGATTATCTGGTTAGTTGGTTGGTTGAATGTTAAGTTGACTGATTAGTTGTTTGGTTGATTAGTTGACTGGTGGATTGGTTGAATGACTGGTTGGTTAACTGTTATGTTAAATGGTTGTTTAGTCGACTGGTCGGTTGTCTGGTTAGTTAGGGCGGCTGTGGTAGAGTGGTTAGGGGAGTCGTCCTGGAACCGGAAGGTCGCCGGTTCAATCCCCCGTCCGGTTGACTCAGTCGTTGTGTCCTTGGGCAAGACACATTACCCACCTTGCCTACTGATGGTGGTCAGAGGGTCCAGTGGTGCCTGTGTATGGCAGCCTCGCCTCTGTCAGTGTGCCCCAGGGCAGCTGTGGCTACAGAGTAGCTTACCATCATCAGTGTGTGAATGTGTGTGTGTGTGTGTGAATGGGTGAATGTCTGTAGTGTGAAGAGCTTTGAGTGTCCTGGATGGATAGAAAGGCGCCATATAAGTACAGTCCATTTACCTTTTTAGTTTGTCGATTTGTTGTTTATTTGACTGATTAGTTGGTTGATTGGTTGTTTATTTGACTGATTAGTTGGTTGATTGGTTGTTTGTGTAGTTGACTGGTTGTATAGTTGTCTGATTAGTTGGTTGATTGGTTGTTTATTTGGCTGGTTAACAGGCTGGTTGATTGGTTAGTTAGTTGTGTGGTTGGCTGTTTGTTTAGTTGACTCGTTGGTTAGTTGGTTGTTTAGTTGGTTGTTTAGTTGACTGTTGGTTGGTTGTTTTGTTAACTGGATGTTTAGTTGATTGGTTAGTTGGTTGGTTGGTTAGTTGTTTTTTTTTTGTTTAGTTGACTTGGTTAATTAGTTGTTTTTGTTGACTGGTTGGTTAGTTGGTTGTTTAGTTGACTGGTTGACTGGATATATAGTTGACTGATTAATTGGTTGGTTGGTTGATTGTCTGATGGTTCATTGTTTATTTGACTGGTTGGGTGGTTGTCTGTTTAGTTGGTTGGTTAGTTGGTTGACTGGTTGGTTGACTGGTTAGTTGTCTGTTTAGTTGGTTGACTGGTTGGTTGGTTGACTGGTTAGTTGTCTGTTTAGTTGGTTGACTGCTTGGTTGGTTGGTGAGTTGGTTGACTGGTTGGTTGACTGGTTAGTTGTCTGTTTAGTTGGTTGACTGGTTGGTTGGTTGACTGGTTAGTTGTCTGTTTAGTTGGTTGACTGGTTGGTTGGTTGACTGGTTAGTTGTCTGTTTAGTTGGTTGACTGGTTGGTTGTCTGTTTAGTTCAGGGGTCCCCAAACTTTTTCTTGTAAGGGCCACATAACTTTTCCCTTCTCTGGTGGGGGGCCGGAGTCAGTTTGTAACAGAAAAAGTGTGACTATTGCAGGAGTGCCTAAATGTAAAAATTTATTGTTTTCCAGAAAACACAATCAAATAACCCTCTCTGGGTTCTTCACAGTATGAATTCTGCTGAGCTAAAAGTCCATATTTTAGCTTTGAGAGTTTGTTTGCTCGTGTTTGGCCTCGCAAGCTATCATACTTGTCTTTGTGACGGGATTCATAGTGTCGCTGCAGATTATATTCTCTGAATACCGCCACCGCCTCTTGACAGATGAACAAAAACATAATAGTTTGTCCACTGCAACTTAAATGCCCTGCATTCTGAATCTATTTTTCTCATTTAATCTTTTCACCATTATTCCGTTCTCTCTGAGAGGGGCGGGTTTAGGATGTTTTTCTGGGGGGTTGCCAGATAGGGGCACAAACAGCAGAAGGGTGGAACAGAATGTCATGTTATATGCGTGTGTGTATGAAATAGTTACTAACTAATAATTGTTAATAATGAAAATAGTTCATAACTAAGGAACATTTTATTGCAAAAGTCCAACTTTATAATCAAATACAAATACATATGAAAAAAAAAAACTAAATGCTCTCTGGTATTGTTCTGGGGGCCGGACCAAATGGGGAGGCGGGCGGGCCGGATCCAGCCCGCGGGCCATATTTTGGGGACCCCTGGTTTAGTTGGTTTGACTGTTTAGTTGGTTGGTTAGTTGGTTGTCTGATTGGTTGGTTAGTTGTCTGTTTAGTTGGTTGACTGATTGGTTAGTTGGTTGTCTGGTTAGTTAGTTGTCTGTTTAGTTGGTTGATTGGTTAGTTGGTTGACTGATTGGTTAGTTGGTTGTCTGGTTAGTTGGTTGGTTGTTTAGTTGACTGATTGGTTAGTTGGTTGTCTGGTTGGTTGGTTGTTTAGTTGACTGACTGGTTGGTTGAATGGTTAGTTGGTTGTCTGGTTGGTTGATTGGTTGTTTAGTTGACTGACTGGTTAGTTGGTTGGTTAGTTGGTTGAATGGTTAGTTGGTTGTCTGGTTGGTTGATTGGTTGTTTAGTTGACTGATTGGTTAGTTGGTTAACAGACATTCTGAGGCCGGCAGTGTTTAATTGTCAGATTGTTTGTCATCAGGTGAACATCTCAGTGGTTCCAGTTTGACGACGAAGGAGCTGCAGCAGAACCTGAAGCTGATGAAGCGAGGACACCGCCTGGTCCGGGTGCTGTTTGAGATCCCGTCCAGTCGGATCGTCCAGCAGCCTCTGAGCAAACACGTGGTGAGAATCTAACACAGACACTAAGTTTCAGCTCAGGGTCTCTGCAGCCATCTTGAAAATACCCCAGAAGATAATCAGTGTTTATCCAATGAAAAGGTTCTGAGAGCTTCATGAGATATTTTACTTACACAACATGTTCACGCGGTTCTTCCTGATGGTCTCCAGGTGTATCAGGTCATGGTGATGCGTTCAGGCAGCTTCGACTCTCACCGTGTTTGGGTGGAGCGCCGCTACAGCGACTTCTTCAGTTTTCACCACAAACTGCAGGAGGAGTTCCAGGAGGAGCTGGAGGACGTGCTCCTGCCCCGGAAGCTCCTGACGGGGAACTTCAGCCCCGAGAACATCTCGGAGCGCCGCCTGGCCCTGCAGGACTACCTGGCCCAGCTGTTCTCCACCCACTGCGTCCGACACTCGCCTCAGTTCCCGGCGTTCTTCACCGAGCCGGAGCTGAAGCGGGCCCACGTGTTGCTGCGGGCCGGCCAGTTCCGGGAGGCTCTGGAGCTGCTGCAGACGGTTCTGGAGATCCAGGAGAAGCTGCTGCCCTGGCAGAAGTCCACCCTGACGGTTCCGACCCTGTCGGCCCTCGCCGTGTGTTACCGCGACCTGGACGAGCCCGAGCAGGCGTTCGGCTCCGCCCACAAAGCCCTGCCCGCGGTGAGACGCTACGGGCCCAGGAGCTACAGGGCGGCGCTGCTGGAGCTGCTGGTGGACCTGGGGTACCAGCTGAGGCGGCCCGTGGCCCAGCTGCAGGACGAGCTGACGGGCCTCAGAGACGCCGAGAGGGGGGAGGTGTCCTTCCGCTCGCTCAAGGAGGAGGTGATCCAGCAGTTCACCTGAGGAGGAGGAGCCAACACTCACCTGAAACCTGTGACAGGAAGTGTGGATCTGGGTTTAAATATTGACTTTAACTGATCAGATTTTAATTTAATCAACATGAAACAAACTTTATTGTTTTTACTCTGAAATCTGAACTTTGAAAAATAAGTTTTATTTTTTTTCAGTGTAAAAGTTTTCTTTTTATTGTTTTCGTTGCAGGAAACAAACAGGAAGTTGCACATGTTGGTCAACAGATGACAGAAACTTCAATCTTTTTATTTTAAACTCTTCTCTTCTGTAGCTTTTTGTCACAAATCAATCTTTACACAGACATTTTAAAAGTAGTTTAATAWAATTGTAAGAAAATGATATGCTGGCTAGCAAGCCTCACACGGCCAGCACCATAAATATGTAGGGTAATTTAAAGTTTAGAATTCTGAACTTTATAATTT